AGAACCGAGCGATTAAATGCAAGATAATGAAAGGGCGGCGGCGTTCTGACAGCTGGTGTGTGATGACTTCCGTCGAAGCGACCAATCGATCGAAGTTCTCGTGTCACGAGTTCGTCGGGAACAACGATAGGGCGAGATGATAATTAGCGCCGAGCTTCCACGATAATTTCCTGATTTCTAACGTGATCGTCCGAGTTGTAGATCGAGACGGACACCTCGTCAACACATGCGTCGTGTCGTTCGTTGCCGTTCGGCGTTACGATACGATCCACCGCGGCGAAATCGTAAACCCGCGTAAATTCATGCGACAAAGCCGCCTGTTCGTGACGAATATGATTACGCGGTGCCCGAGCGTTGACATCGAACGAGCTCTCTTCGTGTTGTTGAGGATCGAGGTGCGATACAATCGTGATTTATACGGTGTACAAGTGCGTCGAGGCGCGAGGGTGAATACACGAGGCGCTCTTTTCATCCCCCCGTAGCAGCGCGACGTTAACGATATTTATAGATGTATTAAAAAGGAGACAAATTTATTAAAAGAGAGAATCAACTCGCTATACAATTGGAAAATTTGTGTTAAATTTAACACATTTTATGTGTCCCAGCGATTCACTCAAATTTTTGTGTTTATTTAACACAAGGTATTATTAGAAAGTAATACAAATATTATATTTAAAAAATTTAACATTATTTGTAAGCAAATTGTGCAAGCATATTTTTTCAGCAAAATTAATATTTATGATATACTGATTAAATTAATACATATTTTATTCGTTCATCTTAGAATTTATATTTTAAAACATTATTTTTATATTAATTTTTTTTGCTCACTTATAAATTCTGTTATTTTGTCACTAAGAACCGTTAAATATCGATTTAGTACAAAATATTTAATTGACATAATCATATTATGTTAAATTAACATTCAAATAAAAATTCAACACAAAATTTTAACAAGGATTTGAGTGGATCGCTTCCAACACGAATACAAATATTTTTTACTGTGTATTATCGGTTTTTTATGCAAGGGGATATCAATGCTACAATGGATATTGTAACGAGAGTTGATGATTTACAGTGACTGCCAAAAGTTTCCCGCCAAGGTAATTTTGTCGTATTGCTCAGATAAAAAATTGTTACAAATAAAGATCTAGTATATAAGTACTTATTTAATATATTCTAGTATTTAAAATATTATATTCTTAAATTAATTATAGAGCAAAAATTTTATTGACTTATAAACTGGAACAGATTAACAAAAAATAAAATTATATATTGGCTGGAAACTTTTGGCAGTCACTGTATTATATCTACATGTTCTCGGATTATTCGAAGTAAATAGAATCACAGAAGCGTGGTATCAGTTGATTTAATTATATCGGTTATACGCAATTAGTATCATTCGGGTAGTGATTTTAATAGATTAGTAAAACGGATAAATCGAATGTTGCAGAATAAATGTGGTTCCGAATTCATGTATAAGTTAACATCTGCAGCTATTTGCGCAGCGGACCTTGAGAAACGCAATGGCGAGTATCATCGATCGTAAAGGCTTGATGGGCCATCATGGACGAATCAAGGTGCCGCGCCGCAAAGTCGTAAACGCGCCACGTCGTTTCACCAGTCAATTACCGGTATGCGCACTTGTCACGCGAAAAGATTGCAATATATGCCTGTCACAGATGTCTCCCGTTCATTATTAATAGTTTGGTAGTGCATAACACTTTGGTCTAGTTTGGTACCATGGAGTTAAAAAGAAAGTAGAAAATTGTACATTATTTGAAACATTTTCAGAGGAAAATGTTAAATTTAGATTTTTCCATCTTGGGAATTGCAGAAATATGTTTAGCACATTACGTCAAATTTTATCTACCTTATACAGTTTTTATCTAGAAAATTTAATATCGTATATGTCCATTAAATCATGTTTAATTACGAAGTAATATTTATTTTTTATTATAAAGAATGCACGTATGCAGTAAATTTAAAATAGAAACTACAGAAAGAACGTTTTGCTGAAGTTTTAAAAATTTAACTGTAATATAATACACATCTGAAAATAAATTTGGACTCAAAATGATTATATAAAATACTTGAATTTATTGCTAGAATGTTAAAGCTTTTTACAGCAATGTCATCGATGGCTCATCACGTTTTAAGCGTGTTCAACATAATTATTTTCAGATGCAGCGCTAATTAAATTTTTAGATACTTAAACAAAACCATCTTCTTTCCATGCTCACTAATAATCCAATCTAAATGTGCATTTAGAGCGTTGCAATTTATGCACGATGTAAAAAGATATTGTTAGTATGTAAAACAACTTCTACAGAAATAAGCTCTACAGAAATATAATCTGCCGCATCTTAGGGCCGGTATTACTTCCCTTTCCCTTAATACCATTTTATCGCTATGTTTGCATTCTGTAACAAAACTCCGTCTTTCTCTTCTTCTTCCTTTCCACAACTTGCGGACAATTCTTAACAATTCTTTATTCCCACGCGCTTGACGATGCGTTTTCTTTCCTAACTCTCTGCTCGCGCTTCGTCTCTCCGCCTACTTATCTGTCTCTTTGTACTCTCTTATCTCTCTGCTCTATTTCATATTCTCATTTTTCCCACTGCGTTCCTCACCCCTACATTACTATCGTGCATTCCTCGCTTGCTGTATATTGACGCAAAGGCGCCGTCGTAAAATTCTGCTCGCTGGAATAGTAAATCCTCCAAGGCGCGGCCGGGCCGCATAAAAATCACCGAGTTTCGACGATGACGCTGCGGGCTTTTGAAAGTAAAGCTCATCTCCCCAGCGTACTCGACGTTATCAACGGCCATCGTGGTCGGACCGCGAGCCATAGCGGCGAGCCTCGAAACACCGTGCACCTCGCATGAAGCTCAATCCAGACCGCAGGGAGCTTCTATTTTCTGCACAGGACACAACACGGAGATGCGCCACGCGAGGTGCCGTCCGAACTTGCACCGAAACCATTAGTTCCCCGACAAACTGTTGCGAGGGCATTATCGTTACTTTCTTGGATTTCCAGCGTTCTCGCCTCCCGTAATACAATGCACGAAAGGAATGTTCTCTGTAAAAGAGACCGATAAAGCTCGTTCCGGACGATTTATAATTCGTGACAGAATCTGAAAGGAAATTCTATATAATTCTCTTTGCCATAATATAAAAAAAATTGTACAATTGAGATTCTGTTCGTGAAGTTCGAATATTTTAATTACAATGTAAATTATATTTTCTTATTGATCTATACCTTTGTATGAGATCTCTTTATAAATTCTATACAATTCTATATAATTCTTTTTGCCACGATATAAAAAAAGAACCGTGCAGTTGAAATTCTATTCGCGCAAAGTCAGAATATTTTAATTACATGTGTAAATTATATTATATTTTCTCATTAATTTATAAATACTTATGAGAGTTTATATAAAATATCTTTGTACATATTTCGTGTTATATTAAAAAACTTAATAAATGCTATGTTATACAATTGCGATAAACATTTGTTCCGCATGATAGTTTAATTCATTACCGAGCAAACCGTTTCTGTTTTATTCGGAAATAATCGCGATTTTGCAGCCGCTTAAAAAAAAAAATCAAAACTTCCGCTGCCCGTAAATACCCACGTAAATAAATAACGTAGTTAAAAAATCGTGTATATCCGTTTATTATGCTCGAATTCAGCCGGTGCGCGCGGTGCTGATCCCTATGCACGAAAATTCAATTCGAGCCGTAAATCCCATTATATCCTCTCTTCTGCGGATTACAGGCTTTAAAATGCCGCGGAGCGGGCTCGAATTTTCTCACCCGTCTACGAATCAGCGGTGGTGTTCGTTGTGGAAGAAATAATTTTTCTTTAAGCCGGTATATACCGGACTGAGGACGGCGACATTTCGCCGTTGGTATATCCCATCAAACATCATCGTTTGTTTGCGTTGGGCCTTAAAATCCGACGGAGAGACGGGCAAATTAATCGCGCAGTGTACAGTGTGGAAATGACAGTTCGTGCGACACAAACGCGAACGATGGATAGAACTGATGTGATCGCTGTTAGGTTGGAACATGGTCCGTTTATGTTCACACACGCTAATATGCGTCAATCGCTTTTCCATTTGCGAGAAATTTCATAGAAGACTATTGTAAAGTCCTTAATGACAGATCGCCCGATTTTGTTTGATTATATTGTAAATTCAGTATTTATGAAACTGCGTATTATTATTAATCGTGTAACACGCGTGATACATTTTTACGTAAAATAAATTTACTCGTGCGTTAGATTTAAGTAAATTTTTATCGATTACATCGTTTAATAAATTATGCATGTATTATGAATAATAATCAGGAAAATATTACAAAAATTTGTATAATCTGATACCTACTTTTCTAGATGATATTCCCATGTAGAAAAATCGGTTAATTAAAATTCATTGTATAAGAAATAATATGGAAACAAAATTATAATTTTGAATACAGTATGCGAGAATAAAATGCAAAAAAACAACAGATAGAAAATTAGACGATTAACTCCGAGATACTATATGATAGCTATAAAAAATATAAGCGTGCTTAACAAACTTCAATTAATGTTTATTTTCTTTCTCTCTCTCTCTCCTGCTCTCCGACTGTCCCTCTTTTTCTGTACTTAAATACAAAGTCGTACGCTTGCCAAAAATATTCCACAGAATAAGCACAGTCGTAACCGAATGTCTGAGTGAATTTTTCTCTCAATCGAAGGTGCTCAAATATCGCGCAGTCGTGCATTTATTTTTGCCGTTCCATTAAATTAACACTTCCCTTAATTCGAATTGCAAATATTCAGCAGCCTGCCACGTCGAATTTGCCTCAATAATGAAAACTGGCTACTTTATGCGCGATATGCGCTTTCGCCTCGGGTCAGGCGCAGCGGATCGATCGGCGTAAATTGGAAAATCGCGTTGAGTCCCGTGTAACACACCCACGTATTCAACCGCGCACTAATCCACTCTCACCAGTCCTCCTGACAGTGTAAATATCTCCGTGTGTCCCGGCTCGCTGAGTGGCTCGTTCTCATCGAAGTTCGATTCAAACGGAATAATTCGCTACCTCCGTTAGCAGCTGGCCAGAGACGCGTACGTATGTAAATAGTTATCGTTTTTCCCGCATGGAAATGTCCCGCGACGCTCTGCGACGCGTCCCCGGTGATAATTAAATAATCGTGGTCACTTATCGGGTTCCAATGCTTCACCGTCAAAATGGCGAATTGGTCATTCAACGCGATTCTCACTCGTGAATTTTATGATTCTCTTAAGCGACTTATTGTATATTCTCAGCGCTCTTGATTTCAATGATAAAAAAAATGCTGAGAACGCTACGTGAATAAACCGTATCTCTATTATTACGAAAATATCTGTTAATAAAATGATTAACCAAATCAATATCGATACAATAACGGAATGTATATATAATATTTTATCATTATTGTTTATCATATTAAAAATTATATCGTAACATAAGCTATTGTAAAAGAATGAAAATATAAAGGAAGATAAATAATATGCACAGCGCAAATTTATCAATTTGTTAAAAGTAGAACGTTGTCGCAAGCCAAAAGAGAAAAGAAATGAAAATGAATATTAATTGAAGTTTACAAAGCATGTTTTTTTTTTCTTTTAGATGTATCTCGGGTAATTTTCTATGTCTACTATTTTCTTCATTTTCTTTTCTATACTGCATTTAAAATTATAATTTCTTTCGCCATATTTATTTCTAAATTAAAATAGATTTTTTAATTTACCAATTTTCCTACGCGAGAATATAATTTCAAATGGAACAACGTGCAAAAACGATGTTGACACTTTTGCCTTTTGCGACTAACTGTTACATAAGATAGTTTAGCAAACTGCCGACGGCCTGAAAATGGAAGCTCGGATAGATGGGAGAATAGTTGCCGTTCCTTACGTTGAAGAATCGTTAACCCTTCGGAGTTACTTCGTTGACGCCGCTCGAGGCGTCCTGCCGAGGACGATGAAAAACACAAGAATTTACGAAGAATGCTTTCAGCAAACTTTAAGTAGCCTGAGTAAAAACAAAGGAGAATGCGAATTCCGAAGAAAAGAGGTTGACGTATTCCGGGAAATAAAATATTTTTCTTAATTAGTATTATAAGTCGCAGAATTAAGAAACTTAATTCTGGTGTCCAGATGATATTTAATAACCGAAAATAATTTTTGGATGAATTTAGTTTTTCGCTTTAATATCTTCGTAAAATTAATCACAAAATATTATTATAATCAATCATTATAAAAAAATCGTACATAGCGAATTTGTTGTTTCTCTTAAACTCGGTTTTAATTAGACTTCTTAAAAACTTCTCGGTTTTAATTAGACTCAGTTTGAATTATAAAAAAAAAAGAATTTCTCTTCAAGATATTATACAGATAGATACAGAAAGTTTATTGAAGCGTAAATCGAATTTAATAAAAATATACGGCAATTTTTTTTTTGTGTTACCGGCTTAATAGATAACACAATCGAATTCTTATTTTTGTGCCACTCGCAACAAAAATTGAGAATTCGACTGTAATGTTTATTAAGCTGATAACAAGGATTTGTAATTTTATCAAATAAAGCAAGATTATATCTCGAAATAATATTTAGATATTAATCAGAAAAGTTGATTTTTCGATATACATTTTAATAGATTTTCTCTAAAAAAGGGAACTCTCTTTTTATTAACTCAGTTTTAATTAGAATTATTATACTTCAAATTTTTAAAAGAAGAATTTCTTTTACGGAGAAAGTCTTTTGAAGTGGAATCGATGATCACAGCTATCTTGATTAATAAAAATATTACTTCGAGATACAATCTCGCTTTCAAGTCTATATTTAATAGAAATACGCGACAAGAGTCCTCGTTACCGATCTAATGAGCGACATCACACTCGAATTCTCAATTTTTGTTGCGAATGGTATTATACCTATTCAACCCTTTTGACGAGCCCCCCCTTTCCCCCAGCTCGAGTTTCAGCATCGAAAGCACTGGTATTGTCACCGTGGCCAATTCAGCCCTGGGCAGGCCGTTTCACCGTCGCAGCTCGTATTGGAGAGATTTTGCCGAGTGTGGACCTGCCGCTCTCTCGTGACGTGTCACGCGTAAACACGGGTGCGCATACACGTGGACGCTCTGCACAAAGGTTATATGCCGTCTCTTGCATCTTTCTCTCTTTCTCTGTTCTCTCTCTCTCTCTCTCTCCTTTCCTCTGCCTCTCTCGTGTGCAGCGAACGATGGACGGTATCGCGCACCAACCAGCAAGAAGTTGGTTCTCGTGTTCGTTGGGTGTTACGTGCCCGCGACGCATATCAACCGTAACTTTCTACCGCTTTTTGCGGTCCCCGCCGTCGACATTCACGGTGAAAACTGCTGATTTCCAGCAGCGGGCGCTCTCACGGGGCACATATTGTGTACCCTGCAAAACGAGCGTCGACTCTCGCTGAATCGAGACGAAATTTCATGAGTCTGTGTGCGAAAGCCGGTTGTGTACCAACATGAGCGCTTCACGCCTATGCTTCACAGGAAGTGTTTGTCTCGCGTGTTGATGACCGATAAATGTATGAACTTCATACTAAAGGGAATGTCCTAGTCATCGACAAGTGCCACCTTAATCATATGTCCTTTGTGAGATACAGAATGGAAAGTCGTATTGACAGATGTTAAAAACATGATTGACATAAATAGATTTAGATTGTAATCGGAAGTTTATGTGAAATGCTATGGTGAATTTGATCATCTGCTCTTTATACAACTGATCACAACTCTAAATTTTTTTAACGTTAAAATGCAATACATGCATGACTATATCTATAAGGGCGAAAAAAATAACGTAACTATCTTGATTAATAAAATATTTATACATGTTGTCAAATAATGTTATCATATAATTTTAAAAAGGAGAAAACAAAATAAATGATAATTTTAAAAACAGAAAAAAGAAAAAGACACTGCAAAATTGGACACACAATATTGGACGCACAATATTAGACATTGCAGAATTGGATACTGCAGAAATGGACACTACAAAATTGAACACGCAAGATTAAAACACTGCAAGATTAGGTATACAAGACTGGACACGCAAGTTGAACACATGTTAAACACGCAAATTGTACACGCAAGATTCAAAAGGAGAAAAAGGTATTTTTTTATTTTTATGATATTTGCGACATCGCGAAATTGCAATAGTTTTTTTTTTTTTACGTTTAATCGTAAAAACTTGAGGACCATAAAAATAGGATATATTTACGAGTGGGAAGAAGGGGATCGAAAGTATGATCGACATGTTGTGAGAGTTTCATTCCCATAGGATACCGAGCGACTGTCTATTTTGTTTATCCATTTTGTTACACTATTTGCTAACGATGCGAAGTCTCGCAGGACTATTTATAATGCACGCTCAAAAAATTTACACCTTTTAAATCTTTACGATATTGAATTTTTAATTGCTTTTGTAAAATGCGTATCACTGTAAATGATAAATACTTTATCTGCACTATAGAATTCACATCAGATAAACGGAAATTCATATAAAAGTTATCTCAACTATGCTTTTTAATGGACTAAAAATTTATTTTCGAACCCCCCCCCCCCCCCCCCCTCTCTCTCTATAGGATTAATGAATACACTGAAACTTAAATAAAATTCCAACAATAATCATAAAAAATATATTGGCTTGAAATAAAAGTGTTCATGGCGCTATAAACTTTGAAATTCAAGTAGCTGCGACTTCTCGTTCAAAGGATCAACATTTAAATTTAAAATTTATTTGAAAGCTCAAAATCTATAAAATAAATACAATGAGATATAAACGACTAAAATGAACGAACAAAAAAATAAAAAATTTAATTAGGGTGATTAAAAAGTAATTGAAATACATAGGTTCGTATTTTTAAAAAAACGACAAATAATCACAAAACATTTCGTATTTACAGAGTCTTCATCAGTTGCAACATAGTACATAATTCTAGCAATGTATCTTTTTTTATATTTTAACAAATTGTATTATATTATTATTGTTATTTAAACTATGTTAATTTTATATAATAATTCATGAACAATAACACGAATGTGTGTATACGTATAAATATATACGCATACACACTCAAAATAAATTATTTATATAGGCTGAAATTAATTGTGAAATGTAGAGAAATTATAAAATGTTAATATTACGGACTCATACAATAACATATAAATTTGAATATAGATGGAGATATTCTTGCAAAACAGCTGACTATCGTACGATGTATCCTACGAAAATAAATCATAGAAAACTGAGTAAAGAGACATGAAGATCAAAGCGAATAACGAATACCAGAAAAACTTGATTTTTTGTAACGTTTCGGTGTAGGTACTTCATAAATATTGCAGTCATAAGGGGAAGAGCATTACCAATGTGAGAGAAATACGGGCACACATCATACGTGATATGCGAGATATGTATTTTTAGAGTAAATTTTCGTGAACTTTTTCGAGTAAACGTAGAGTAACTCCGGTATATACGCCGAGCTGGGATTTACGCCGCGGAGGTCAGAAAAAATAGGAGTGAGGGTAATTTTCTCGCAACTACTCTGTTACATGCCTTTATGTTATATTGAGTTATAATTTCAGCTTCTTACTGTTAATATTAATGAAATTATTGTGAGTTGAATCGATTTGTCACTGTGTGTGTAACAAGTAGCATCATCATAAATTATAATCTACATAAAATGATTACTGTAAGGCGTGTAAAAGATCTAGTGGTTATTTCGTGAGCAGGTTGTATAGCAAAGTACAAGTGCTTTGCTTTCGTATTCTTTGTTTAGTTTGTTGAAACCCTTTTTGTCATATATCCCATCCATTATCTATATATAGCAAAAATGCAAGATTTCAAAAAATTTATTTTTTAATACAAAAACTAAATATTTCGGATTTCTAATATTTTTTTCATAGTAGTAGATAGTACAAAGTTTTTACTGATATAGTTCGTTTATTTTAAACATAGTAAATAATACTTAATAAATTAAAT